ACCAGGTCCTGAATTGGACCTCCTGTACCAATAATAATAAAATAAAATTAGTTATACTGACTTAGAGTATATGGTCTGCTGAATATATTTTTGCTGATTTACATCTGATACTTAAATTCTCTATCAGATCTTATTTAAAATTATATTGTAGAATTGGTTATGTTCCAAATACCTAAATGAAAACAGGATTATGGATTACAAATAGGAAAACCCATAACATTGCTTTTATGATACTCATTTTTGAAATGTAGCTAAAATATTTTAAGATACTGAGATGCTACTTAGTCTTTTTGTTAAATTTCAAAGCATGAACTTAAAATAACTTAAGGTTTATAAAATAAAATGATGTGAGGGCAGGAAGACAGCTCAGTAGTATAAGCAAGTGCAAGGGCCTGAGTTCAATCCCTGGCTCCCAAAAAAGAAAAAAGAAAAATTAAATGATGTTAGAATAACTACTAAAATTAAAAGTTGAAGGGAAAAATTGGAGTAGACTGTGAAGTTTATACCTTTGCCTCAAAACTTCAATCTCAGTAAATTCTTAAAACGTTAACATTTGAATGTAAGAAACCATCCCACAGGAAATTCCTGTGTATATTTTTATTCTCTTAGGATAGATCAACTTTCTTAAGCCTGACATCAAAGTCAGACAGCATAACAAAAGTTTGAAAAATTTTTCTATGCTAAAAATGTTGAAGTACCCTACTGGGAAAATAAATACACTATAAAAAAGACAGATTACAGCCTGTCCGAAGTGTTCCCTTTCTGTTTCCTAGGCCAGCGGCTCCGATTTGCGCTGATCTAGGAGCATGTACTAACCAGTTACTGTTGGCTTTATGCAGAGTACAACAGTCCAGGCAATGCATGAGAAGGATTTTTCAACTTCACACAGCAAAGAAATAGTAAATGTAAATAGTAATAATTTTACAAAATCTAAAGAAAAGATCTTAATCAGTAGAGTCCAGTGTTGGTAACTGTTCCAGTTGTGTGTCTGTTATTGCCTAACACACTGCCGGCAAAGCAGCGGCTTCGGGCCACTGCTGTCACCCACTGCTGTCACATCCCTGCTCACGCACAGAGGCAGAGGCATTCCTGCGCTCGAGGCGCTCTGCAGCTGGGGTCACCATGGAGAGACCCAGCTGGGCAGGCCCACAGCCCACTCCAGCACACAGCCTCTCTCAGAGGAAGTAGGCTTCACTGGCTGTGGAAGGCTCCCGGAGAAACTAGCCGAGGCCTTTGGGCGCCTTCTCTGTAGTTGTCGCAGGAGGTACAAAGGCCTGTGGGATGAAGGGAAAGGAAAAAGATGTCAGAGAACTCGTGGCCATGCTCTACAACCACCACAGCAAACGTATTAAGAAACGAACTGTAGCACATTGTGTAAGTTTAAAATAACCCTTCTGGATGATAATGTGGCGTTGATCAGAAGTTATTTCCTCTAACTCAGCAAGAAACTTTTAGGAGGGGCGGATGGAGAAAAAAAGAAACTTCTAGGAATATGTCATAAGAAAACAATCAGCAAGTGTGCAAGTGTGCACAGACAAGTGCGCTCCACGTGGCTGCGGTGTGGCTCAGTAGTCCAGCACTTGCCTAAGCTGAATTTGGTCCCCACCACTGAGCAAGAAGAAAAAGTTCATCTCATTTACAATTACAAATGTTGGAACAAGCTCAATGTCTAAGAAATTATTATGTAATAATATGGCTTATTAGCATGAAAAATATCAGTATACAACTGCTTACTGCCTCAGAAACACATCCAGCTTTGGGGGCAGGGGGTATAGAGATGCAGTATATGCCTGTGGTCCACTCCCGTACATACTCCTCCATGTATGTGGGGGGTTGCATCTCAGTTCAGTTTTCTGAGACAGAGTCTTGCTGGGTAGTTCAGGCTTGCTTTGAGCTCACCCAGATCCTTCTGCTTCAGCCTCCTAAGGATGAGAATTTTTTTGTTGTTTTTTTATATATTTGGTACAAGGTCTCACTGAGCAGTTTAGACTCGTAGTGACCTTCCTAATTTCAGCCTCTCCAGCACTGGGATTACATGCACGCACCACCATGCTGGGACTCTGTGGCTGGCTCAGCACACCTGGAGGCTGACCCAGCGCCACATGTGGTGCCGGGAATCGAACCCTGGGCCCCCACGCTTGCCTAGGCAGGCACTTAGTCCATCGAGCTATCTCGCCGGCCCTGAGAGGTTATTTTTTAAATGTGTTCAATACCAGGAAAGTATGGAGTAAAGCTACTCAAATGTGAGCAGGATTTAGTATACACCTGTAGTCCCAGCACTATGGGAGGCTGAGGCAGGAAGATTGCAAGTTTGGGCCTACCCTGGGCAATTTAGCCACTTAGGGAGATCCTGTCTCAAAATACAAAAGTTAAAACCAGACATGGTGGCACACTCCTACAGTCTCAGCTTTTGGAAGGCTGAGGCAGTCAGATTCTACATGTTTGAGGCCAGCAATTTTTAACTCAGTGCCAAGTCCCTGGTACTGCGATCTCCAGTATTGGGAAGAAATCTTTTGCAGAACTCAGATAAATCTAATCTTGTTGCTATTCCTGCTTAAAATACTGCAGTGCCTCCCATTTCTTGCTGAAGTTTAAATTCCATAGCTAGCCAGCCTCACTTTCCCAGGGCATCTTGCCCTGCTGTGTGGAGCCCTGAGTCTTAAGGACTTTAGCAGAGGGCTAGCCCCTCCCGCAGGAGTTCCTGCGCCAGCCCATCCCCCACCAGGTTGCCTTGTCTGTTCCTGGACCCGGGGCTCCCCTAGTCCCTGCCCTCGTCCTCCGTTTACAGCAGCATCACTGCATGTTAGTGTCTTTCCTCTGCTGAGCTGAGCTGCTTGAGGGTAGAAGAGCCAGCCACTCCTTCCTGACCTTGCAGCCCTGTAAGGGAGCACACGGACTCACATGTAAGAATTTTAAGATGCTTGCAGGTCCGAGGCCATAGCTCAGGTGCACAGGGCCTAACATGTGAACCTATCCCGTTTTCTGAGACTGAAATTACAGTTATACTTTTGAGGCTGAAATTAGGAAAGGAGGAATAAAATATAATAAGTTTTTGAATAGAGTTCCCATTCCTAATCATATGAAAATGAGAGACAATTATGAAAGCAAGGACTGGTCTGGTGAGATGGCTCAGTGGTCTAAAGCACCTACTTAGAACAAGCTAAGCTAAGCAAAGCACAGGGACCAAGTTTCAATCCCCCAGCACCACATGCCAGCCAGCCCCACCCCCTGGTGGGCTGACTGGCCACACACACACACACACACACACACACACACAAATAAATAAATAAATATTAAAAAAAAAAAAAAGCAAGAACTGTGATTGTGGAATGGTAGTGTGCCCGCGGGCTGAGAACTCCACCACCAGCCCCAGCCCCAGCCCTTAGAGAACTTCTTGGTTATTTGGGGTGGAGGGAGGACTGGGAACCCAACTCAGGACCTTGTGCCTGCCAGGCAGTGCTCCACTACTGAGCTACATCCCTGGCCCCTCTTAGAGAACTTCCTGATCTCAGCTGCTTCATTTCTGACTCTTGATTTCTCATTCTGTGTTTTGCTGCCATACTGGGGTCGAGAATATTATGTGAGTGTTATGGGTCGCACAGAATAGGAACCAGATCAGCCAGATTGAAATTTGGAAAGCCCTTTATTACTGAGCTCAGGGCCCCGGTCCACTCTCACGCAGGAGAAGACCCAAAGGCCCGGCCCAGGAAGCAGGGAGGGGTTTTAAAACGTGGAACCACATTGAGTTTGATAAACAAATTTATTGTCTGACACAAAATAATGCTTTTAGAGTGATTGGGACCACTACTCAAACTACATTTCCTGGGGCTTTTGTTTCAGTTCCTGGTTAATTTGCACCTGAGTACCTGCAGGCAGCCTTGCATAGCCCGGAGGTTACAAGAAGTTAAAGCCCATTTAATTTCCTTTTGAAGTCATCTCTGTAAGCTAACTTTGTTAACAAGAATTGATGAGGGTTACAGGAATTTTATCTTAGCAAAGAGCAAGAAACAGCCACTAGTACTAAACAACTTAGAACAGTGGTGAGTATACATTTACAACAGAAAGCACAAGGTTTACATTTATAATCTAAAATGTGAGTTGACCCTTTACACTGAGCAGCAGCAATGGAAAATAATCCATGCGGGGGACACGGTTCCTTACCTGGTGTCTGCAAGACTTTGGGCTCGATACCCAGCTCCACAAAAATAAAAGAAAGGAGAATTTTAAAAACAAAAACTAGGGCTGGGGAGATAGCTCAGCGGTATAAGTGCCTAGCTGGCAAGCACAAGGTTCTGAGTTCAAGCCCCAGGACCAATGAGAAAAAGAAAATTTGGAAACAAAAGCCTTAAAGCAAAATTTTTTTGTTTATTATACTGAATTATAGTTATAATTTTAAAAGATTTACCAAAATTAGAAAAAGAAAAATGGAAGTTTGAATTATCTAAAAGCCCATTTCCATGAAACATAATAGTTTTATTTTTATGTTTTTCCTTTGTGTGCTTCTAAATGTGTATTCTTTTCCCACTGAATCCCAGCGGGGCTCTGGGGGCCGTGGCCTGCGTCCTTCCTGCCCGCCCCCGGTTTTTCCCAGCAGGCGCAGGCTTGCTCCTCTGCAGCTCTAGCCTCCCTAGAACACTCTGGATCGAGGCGGCAGAACAAGGACCTGGGCCTACAGAATGACAGGCTGCTCTTCCAAATGCTTGTAATTCCTATCCTGAAATTCTAGCAGCATAAAACTACTTGCCTAATGTACAATTAAAGTTTATATTATTATGAGAGGAAGAAGCTTATGAGAAAAGTCTTCACGGTTGGCCAAGTGAGCCTAGAATCATTCATTATTCATGTCCTGGGATAGCCAACCGATGGACTTTTATTCAGTGTATTTTTCTTCATATGCAAGGAGTCCTGGTCCCTTACCTCCTCCTGACCCTGGAAACCCTTTTTCCTCCTGTGATGATTTCAATCTGTACTCCTTGCTGCAGCCCTGGCTTTGTAACTCCCCAGCACTACTCCGGTGGCCCTAGAATTGCCTGGCCAGCCCTCCCCTGGAGCTTTTGGCCCGGGTTTTCCTACTGGGTGTCATTACCATAAATATCACCTGGGGACTCCTTAGAGATGCAGATCTCAGCCCACCGCGGGCTGCTGAGTCAGGCTCGGGTGGAGCCCTGCCTGCGGTCGGGACAAGTTCTGTGCTACCACTGGGAACTTGTGCTAGGGGATGGGAAAGCGCTTGCCCTGGTCCAGGATCAGGGTACTCTCAGACTTTACTGCGACCCAGAGTGCCTGGATGTTTGCACACTGGCCCGTAAAAGTCTTCAGAGCTACCATCACAGCCTGTTAGCACCCACTGACTGTCCTGGCCACCTGCTTCCCTGACTGAACCCCTTGCCATCAGAGTCTGTGGTGTTTCTGCCTGGCTGGCTTGCATCTTGCATCCGGCAGCTGCTCAGAGGAAGTGTGACAGCCCCCCCACTATGCACACCAGGAGCCCTTGGCAGCTTCCATGGTGCACTCTGCCATCCGCAGCCTGCAGAGATGGGTGCGGGGATCTTGCTCACTGATTAAAGTCAGAGGCGCAAATGACAGCACACTTATGTTTGGGTTCCATAAAACTTGTGAGGAGAGAAGATGAGAAGAGATGGGCAGTAGATCTAGTTCTGTTCACTGATGTCTCAGATACTCTTATCTCGTTGGTGGGACAAAATACCTGACACCAAAAATGAAGGCAGGAAAGGTTTATTCAGCTCACAGTTAATGGAGGTTTTGGACCATACTCAGCTGGCTCAAAGCAGAGCGGCACATGGCAAAGGACAGCAGTTCATGGCAGCAGCAGAGAGCAAGAACAAAGGGAGGAGTAGCAGCAGCAATGGCTACAAAGAAGTCTGTCTCCTTGAAGTTGCATTCAGGTTATCTGTCAAAGGCTGGGTATAGTACTCATCCAGTATTCAGTGTAGTACGCATAATCCCAGCAGCACTCGCAGGCATAATCTCAATGGATCATGAGTTAATCCTAAACTCTGGAAGTCCACCCCATGATTGCATGAGGATTTAGGGGAACAACTAGACACAAACCATAACAACTGATTTTTTTAAAAAAGATGAATGTGTTACTGCCTAAAAATTGTTTTTAATAAATGCGTAGTAAAAATAAGAATGGGGCTGGCCAAATAACTCAGCAGATTAAAGCGCCTGCAGTGCCTGCCCCACACCCAGCGTGTGCTGAGATTTCGATTGAGGATTTTTTTTTTTGCGGAACTGGAGATTGAACTCAGGCCCTTGCACTTGCCAGGCAAGCATTTATTCTACTGAGCCATCTCCCTGGTCCCGAGACGTCGATCCAGACTGGGCATGGTATCACGCACCTGTACTCTCAGCTCTTGGGAGGCTGTAAATAGGTGGATCAGTATGAGTCTGATCTAGTAGTGAGACCCTGAGCACCCTGTAGACCGTTCCCTAAAATACAAATAAATAAATAAAATAAAATGAAGGGGCTGGTGAGATGGCCCAGTGGTCTAAAGCACCTACTTGGAACAAGCTTGGCAAAGCACAGGGACCACAGTTCAATCCCCCAGTACCACATGCCAGCTAGCCCCGCCCCCTGGTGGGCTGAGCTGGCCACACACACACACACACAATAAATAAATGTAAAATAAGTAAATAAATTTAAAAAAATAAATAAATAAAATAAAATGAAAATAAGAATGGTGAGGAGGAACTTCTTGGAGGAAATGAGTTCCGATTGTTACCTGGAGTAGTGTGAGGAACAGAGATTAGTGACGGGGCAGGGAGCACATTCCTGATATGACCCAGAGGAGGCTGGGGCAAATGTGAAACAAGAGAACTGCAGACGGACAGACTGACAGACTGACGGGATGGGGGAGCTGGCACTGGCTGAGTCTTACCAGAGGGCTGTTTCTGACGACTTACATAGCTTATGGAACCTCACTGCAAGACGGGGATGACAAAACGGATGAGGAAGCGGACAGGCCGTTCTCAGATGATGAGATGGTGACACACAGGGGCTTGCGAAGATCACAGAGCATGAAGTCTGTGAAAACCGTCAAAGGCCGGAAGGAGGTGGGTCAGAGCGCCAGGTAGGGCGTGGCTCGGCTGAGGCGTGACCTTGGGGGTGCTTCCCTGATGTGCTGTGTGGAGGTAAGCACCGTAAATGAAGGGCTGGAAGAAGCGTTTATACTTAAAAGCCTTAATGCAGGGCTGGGGGTGAGGGTACAGCTCAGCAGCTTAAATGTCTGCCTGGCAAGCAGAAGGTACTGAGTTCAATTCCTGGTACCATAAAAGTAAAAGTCTTTGGGCAGACCAGATATATTACAATATCTGGAATTTTTTTCCTGGAAATTGATAAAATGTCAAATTCATTGTCTTCTGTTTGGCAGAAAATGGTTTCCCACGTAACAAGTCACACTGTTACCATCAATACCCAGTCCCACCCCATGCATAAGGACGGAAAGCTAACAACAAAATTTACATTTTGGGGACCAACGAGATAGCTCAGTGGTCTAAAGCACCTGCTTAGGCAAGCTTAGGCAACACAGGTTCCGGAGTTTGATCCCCAGCACCTCATCCCATGCCAGCCCCTCCCTAAGGGAAGGCTGAGCCGGTCTCCACAAAAAAATTCACAGTTTTGCTTTCAACCAGCTCTATATGATGATTAAGGAATCATAAAGGTTTATCCGTAAATAATAACAGTGATTTGTTATTGGTGATAATCTGCTGCATATATTCAACACATTACCAATTACATTTTACTGAGGGTATAGTGCTTTTTTTGTGTACGCTTACAATTCTTTATATCAAAAAGATTAAAAAGTTGCTTTAGTTAGGAATCATGAAATTTGCTCTTCTTTTAAAAAGTAATCAGTCTGATCCTTACTGACATATTTATTCCTAGGTGCGGTATGGCTCACTGAAGTACAAAGTGAAGAAACGGCCCCAGGTGTACTTTTAGTCGTCCAGCTCCCAGTGTCGCAGGACAAGGAATGCTAATAAACCAACTTCATCTTCTAACTTGTTACCTTCAGGATTTACATATTACAATGATTCCTTACATTGTGACAGTGATAAGATTTAGTTTCATGAATTTAAATACTTGTATTTCTTTGACAGTTAGTTTTGAATGTTGACTAATAAAGGTGATCATAAGGGCATATTAACTTCCATACCCACAATTACGGAAAATCATGTTACACAGACCCCCCTATACTTGAAGAGACTCTTGGGGCTCAGCTCTGTCGGCCTCTGAGGTGTCACAGTGCTGCATCCGGCCACGTGAGAGCAGTAGCTGAGCCCCTGGTCAGCCTGGCCTCACAAGGTCATGCAGTGAGGTGGGAAAGTATGTTATTCTGCACAGTTTTACTTTTATAATACTTTCCACTTTTTTCACCTTTAACGGAAAGATTTTTAAACACATATTTGAAAAGCTGGTGCTCACCTAGCACTTTCTAACTAGTTTTGCACACTTGGAAGTTGTCTACTTATCTCACACCTGAACTTTGCCTTTCCATTTTATTGACACTGTATTGTCATATTCTGACATGTCGAATTTATGCCTTGAAAACATCTCCTTTCTTGTGATTTCATTTGTTAAATTTATTGGATTTATATACAGCTAATTATTCCATTTTAACTTATCAACTCAGCTTCTTTGCAAATGAGAAGTTACGGCTGGTGAGATGGCTCAGTGGTCTAAAGCACCTACTTAGAACAAGCTTAACAAATGAGAAGTTACTTTAAACGTTCACTAGTTTTCCCATATTTAGCTATACCATGTAATTAAACTTAGCATTTTTATCCATACCTATTACATTTTCCCAGGGGGGCTGGGGAGATGGCGCAGTGGAATAAGTGCTTCCCTGGCAAGCACAAGAGCCCGAGTTCAATCCCCAGTTCCACCAAAAAAAAAAAAGGACTATTACATTTTCTCCTTGTAAAGATGGTAGTAGCTTAATGGAACTGGAGAACAGTGTAACAGTTAGGTCTCTAATTTTAATTCATAAAATTACCCAACAGCCAGTCCATTCACGAGCTTGGCATTGATATGGGCTGCTGGTTTATAAATCTGGTATTGACTAAAATCATTTGAATTTTTTCCTGGCTGAGATAATTCCCCGAATAGGAATGCCATGCAAACTGCAGACATCATTAATCCTACATATCAGAAAGTATTAGAAATATCATGGTTTGTTTGTTTTTCGCGGAGCTAGGGATTGAACTCAGGCCCTTGCGCTTGCCAGGCAAGCACTTATTCAAATGAGCTATCTCCCTAACCCCCTAAAATTACCATGTTTTTAATCCAAGAAATTTGGAGCTGTAGAACCATGAGGCTTTTTTCATGGTTGCACCAATAACTGCGTTATGAACCCTAAATCTCTGTATTATGGCTGGTGGTTTTCATGATCAATAATGAAATATAGGGGCCAGGGAGATGGCTCAGTGGAATACGCGCTTCCCTGGCAAGTGCAAGGGTCTGAGTTCAATCCCCGGTTCTACAAAAAAAAGAAAAAAAGAAATGTGAACTCAACATGCTTGTTCAGATGCTTTGCTTTACCAATCTATCTGTTTGCCCCAAAGAGAACACAAGAAAAGAGATTTGTGAGACTTTCGATTTTTCTGCCTTTTAAGAAAAATAAACCAGACCCCCTCAGGCTGAGAAGAGAATGCTTCTGCAGAGGTGCAGCAGTGTAACTGGTACATTGCTCTGATACATGCCTTACTGTCTTCAGACTATCTCACATCTTTTTTTTTTTTTTTTCCCAAGTATTTGGTTGTTATAGAGTCTCACTACACAGCTGAGACTCGTAGTGAGCCTCCTGTTTTCAGGCTCATCCCCTCCCTTTTCCCCAGAGTTTAAATCCCCCCCCCCAACCGGGGATTGAACTCAGACTCTTGAGCTTGCCAGGGAAGTGCTTATTCTACTGAGCCATCTCCCCAGCCCTCCAGAGTTTAAATCTATGAATATCTCCATCTCCTTTAACTTAACTAGTTTTTAGCATTTTCATTTCTTGAAAGATTCTCTAGTTTTGTTTTAAACTCCAACGAATTCTAATTATAAATGCTTGGAAGCAAGTTGTATTTATATCACTGGGTGCTAGACTTTGATACAAATGCCCCATCATGCTAGCTTTTGCCGCAGACAGACATGCGGAGGCAGTGTCATCGTGGATCGCCCAATCAGGACACGGACATGCAAGTCCGCTTGTGTCAGACCGTGTCCGCTGCTGACTGGCGCCGTGTTACCTTTGTCAGTTCGATCCCTCTTAGCATCAGAGGGGTTGGGAATGACCTTAGAGGCCAAGCATGTGCTGACCACGAGCAGGCCCGAGCTCAGACCTGAGACACACTCACCCTACCCGAGAGTTGCTCATCTCCTAGAATCAAAGTGCTTTGTTACCCGCCGCCATACTCTCAAAACAACAACGCAGATCTTCAGGTGCTCTTCTCCTTCGCTCCTGATAGGTTTCTGCTGTTGACATCCTTCTACGTAATTCACACCATTGCCTTCTAGCTCTTGTACATTTCTTAAATTTTGGTGTTGTCCTCGTACAGTGTTTTAGCATAGCTTCCTCTCTGACCTTTGTGTAATAAGCTTATACATTCGTATTTCTTTTAAGGTAGGAGAGGCCTTTCTTGGTTTGTCTTTTTTTCTTTTCTTTTCTTTTTTTTTAATTTTTGGCAGAACCGGGGATTGAACTCAGGCCCTTGCGCTTGCCAGGGAAGCACTTACTCCACTGAGCCATCTCCCCAGCCCCGTTTCTTGATTTTTCTACATGTAAGTCTTCTGATTTTGAAAGATGTACATTTACATAGACCACAGTGCCTTGCTTCTCCCCATTGCCACTCAGTGGCCAGGGCTTTAGACACCCAGGGCCTGAGGCACACGGGGCCTTAGACACACACGGGGCCTTAGACACGTAGGGCCTGACACCCGGGGCCTTAGACACACGGGGCCTTAGATACCCTGGGCCTGAGGCACCTACTTGACCTAGTGCTCTGTTTTGGTAGCTGTTGGAACTTACCCAGAAATTGTAGCTAGTATTTTTTTGCTAGTATTTTTTTAACCGTATATTTATTCAACTTGTTCACCAGTACCTATTTCCCAAGTTTGTTTAGAAGTGATAAGTGACCAATTCTTACTCTATTATACTGAATTCCATTTTCTATAGTATAAAGAACACTAGCTGTAACTCTGTTGCTAAGTAATTAGTTATGCTAACCCATCTATATCCTACATAAGATCCTTCCCACACACCTCATTGTATGGCTTGGATTTCACTAAGAAAAGATACTGCCACCAAGACTGATTATAAATACTTGACTATACTGGTTGATGGGACAAAATATGAAAGTGTTTTCAGGGATCATTTTACATGTGTCACCACCAAAGAATTCTACAGTGTTAAAAGTGTGTAAATTTCTGTAAAACATTGGCTACGTAAATGTGTTTCTTTCTTGAAATAACACATAGTTTGTACTTTTAGGAACTGCTTGGACTTTTATTTTGTTCAAATATACTGTCATATTAAATATAAGTGAATTTTATTTTGTAATTGGAATGGACTAAATTATCTTTAATAGCTTTTACCAGGAAAAAGGAGTTTATATATATTTAAAAGCATTTTCAGGGGACCGGGGAGATGGATTAGTAGAGTAAGTGATTCCCTGGCAAGCACAAGGGCCTGAGTTCAGTCCTCGGTTCCACCAAAAAAAAAAGCATTTTCCTATGTTTTCTCCTGTGTAGGTTGATTTATTTGTGAAACAAGTAACTTTTGAGAACATTTCTATTGTGACATGCAGTATGTATTTCATAGTAAATATCTAAGATTAAAGTTTTCTGAAAGGAAAATAGAGCTTTTTTCTCCTAAATGTTTTTAGTGTTTAGTCTTTTAGTAGTATTCTGAAGATTTGGTGTGTATTAGCCCTACTTAAACATTGACCAGTAGTGTAACAGTTTCCCTTCTAGTATCTTTTAAATCTATGTACTTTAATAGTTAAAAGAAAATAATTTTACAAAATTTTACTCTGTAAAAGCTGCCTTTTAGCCCAGTATATGGGTAATTTCAAAAGTGTATTTTTTTTTAAAATAAACTCATTTATTAGTGTCAATTTGTGTTTTTTAATAGTTTTTCTTAATTTTTAAAAATCTTGGGCTGGTGAGATGGCTCAGTGGTCTAAAGCACCTACTTAGAACAAGCTTAGGTAAAACACAGGGACCGGAGAGGAGCGCAGGCCGGCGAGTGAGTGAGACGACCCAGGCCGCGGGGTCCTGAACAGACCC